CTATAATGATTAAATAAAGCCCAGTTTTATCTATAATCAATCGTACAATTAATTGCGCAACTTTTATGAAGAACTATATTATTCTCTTCTTATGCCGACCAACTTTCTTTATAACGGTTTAAATGTGATTTGTAATTTAACAGTTGTTCCTCTAGTTGAATGTCTAACCAGAGGATACAAATTTAATGAAAATGCATTTATTGTCATACAGCGCCATAAACAATGTTTTTTTTTATAAATTCGTTGCGGGTTTAAAGTAGCATTTTCATTCTCTAGGAAGTGAAAAGCCTTTTTAGTCCCTAGAAAGCGAAAGTCAGCTGTTGTAAACAGTTATAAATTTCGATTGTAAGCAATAACATGGATCAAAATATTATTTTTCGATTGATTAAATCGGTTGTAGATTATGGATGCATTACTGTAAATAGTTCGACATATCGATAGTGTGCTGATACATATCGATAGCCTAGTGTGCATTAACAAACACAATCGTAATAGACCAAAAGATTGAAACAGCTGCTTGCTTACATTAGCAAAATTGACTACAAGCTAGAAGTCATTTTGAGAGTCTATCTTTACATGAAAAGTGTTTTCGTTTTTTTAACTTAGTTTGTTAATTTTGCAATATGACGAAAAATACAGTTCATCCCGCGCGCAAAAAGTGTCTCTTCAACCCTTTTTTCTGACCTCGGCTTCGACTCGATCGTAAAACTAAGTCACGGGTTGAAAGGAGACACTTTACACCTTAGTGATGAAATGTATCACCAAATAGACTGCTTTTTGACAACTTATGTGACCTGATTGAGGGAGGTAAATCACTCTTTATTACTATAGATCTAAAAACAACTATTTTACTATAAATTATCGGTTTTATTCACCTGATAGTTGTTCTAAACAAATGTAATTTTGAAAAGGTAAATGGGTATTGTACTGCATTCATTTTTCATCGGAAATTCGTTGTTAAACTGAGAAATTTGCGCACGCACCTCATTGTAATGCTTATTTTAGTTACTATTTTGTATTTGGAATAAACACATTTTTTAGACAAATTATTTTGTCTTTCGGAATCAGTAAAATTTGAACAAATTATTCACTAAATTTAACAAATATATTAAGGTCACAGGAAGTTCATGAAAACTGCTTGGAAGAGAAATGAAAAACAGAACCGGGTGACCTCAAACATAAGAAGAAAATGTCTAAGACAAAAAAACTAAACTCAATCTTTTGTTGGACAACAATAACTGGCAACCAGCTGATACGAAACAAGACTTCATGCTTTGTTCTATCAAATGCCATATAAACCATACTGAAACGAATAATTATTTTCTTAAAATAAACAGGTAAAATAGCTCTTTCACTCTGAAATTCCCTGTATAGTGTAAATTGTGTACTAAAAATCCATTGTAATGTACCAAAATCGCAACCGACACTATCCAATTGTAAACTATTGCATAATCGTAAATAAAATAACAATGTTGGTGTAGTTATAATTGACAGCTAGTTATAACTTCAATGACTTTTAAACATAATTGTGTTACAATTTTGAAAGCTGGGATTTAAGTTAGGTTTGCGTTGCAATAAACTCAACAATTCAGCTTTATTGTCCTATAAGCCATCTGGGAATTGAAGTCATTTTCTTTTTTAAACGACTCGTATGAAACAGGATGTTAATCTCTCTTTGTATTATACCTCTGAGTTAATAACAAATCCACAATGAAACGTGTATACAAGGCAATAAAATATCAAGTGTGAACCAGCTTTAATGGGAAGGGTTAGCCATAAAATGGGTAAATTATGTAGGTGAACTGTATTTTCGTAATATACTGTATATACGCTTCTATACATACAGCTACGTTGTTTTACCGTTATTCTATGAAACAAAATAAATTGTTAAGTTCGGTTTTAGTTTAACATTAAACAGCATAATGCTCTGCTGTAAAATTAAATCATATTTTGCTTTAGAATTTGTAAAAATATTAAATTTAGCAGTTTTAAATGGTCTTCTCGTGTTTTTAAACAGTTTTTTTCCAGAACAAATACACACTGTTTAGTACAAATACATGTTACCAATAATGAACGCAACATGATAAGCAATGGTGTAAATTGAAACCATATGATATTGGATAATAGTACATAGGTGTTATCAGAAATAAACTAAAACTTTACTCTATGTTAGCCTAACTCAAATAAAAGGAACACATAAAAAATGTTCTATCAATATTTTTTCACTTACAACAAAGTAACATTGACAATATGCTGCAAAACGAATCGAAACCTACACGAAAAAACCTTTCAGACCGGAGAAATAATACATTATTATATGTAGTGATAATAATATGTTTTAATGACTAAGGTGATGAATCACAGATATACACGATTTGGTTCTTGCACGGATTAAAAATTATGCAACTCTACTCTACTGTATACTCTTTCCTTTGTGGTTCTAGACATAGAATTAAAAAGAACTATGTAGTTTAACGAGTAAAATATGCAATATAATAATAACAGCTATTTTAATTAACTATTTTGTGATAATATTCATTTTCTCAATTCATGACACAGTATCATATTGTACAAAGCACGAGCCGGTTGGATGGAAGGTCATCGACTGCATTATATTTATTCATGAGCCTTAGATCGCCACCCTACATTTTTCAATACTACTTTCCCTTGATGGTTATCCTTCCCAGTGCGACCTTCCTATCATATAGTTTAAAATACACCTTATCCGAGTGATTTTAAGTGATAAATTCATCATTACTATTTGAAAAATAACATTGTATTTATAGACGCAGAAAACATAATTATAAGAATCTTTTTAAAAAATATTGATGTAAGACCTTTTAAAACTAACAATTATTAAAAGAGCCTATATTTCATCAATATTTTTGAAAAAAATTAAACATGTATTGTATGTATTCTATCAAAATTACTGTATAAAATCTACTGAGAACTAGATAGTGACAATTCTATAGCCTGGCAGAGTTTCAGATACATTGCTTGTGTCTATCCCTATTGTATCACCGCTTCAGATTATAGTAACTACAATCGAGAAGGAAACCGATTTGTATGTAAATTTCACATATTATTCTCAGCTGCTTATCAAGCAAATAATGTGAACAGATTTTATTACAAAGTTTATTGGTTATTCAATTAATGCAGCTTATAAATTGGTAGAAATCGTAATTTTCTATTGAAAATATTACAATGTAACATTAATTACAGAAGCTATTTATTGTGACCAGGTTGATGTTAATATTTCACAATTATTTTATCGTGTCTTTCTAAGCCTCTAGCTTTTATAGTTCTTAGAAGGGTACCAGGTATGGTCCATATGCTGGTTCTATAACAATAATTCATTTTGATAGCAATGTTGTTTTGTAACCCAATGACAGTATCTGGGTGTAGAATTGACCAGCAGTCTTTAGCCTTGAAGAGCACTAAGGTGGACAGAATGGTTATATATAACCATTGTGCTACTCACTCAATTGACCAAACTATAGTGATTAGACAGATTTGAACTTGGACATACAAACCCGAAGGCCCGAGTTCTAAGGGATATACCAACTACACTTCGGTTCAAAATTGGGTACGATCAAGACAGTTTAAGCAAACTACACTTTATTGTTACAGAATGTTTGAATATCAATGATATGCGGTACATCGGTTAAGAGACAACTTAGCCCAAATCCTTTTCTATTCTGATCAAATGACAACATATTTAAACAAATATTTTGTAAACCTCATGAGTCACTGACTACAATTTTTTTATTTCGAAAAAAGTGTTTTAACTCATGTTATTTATAAAATAACCGACCAAATTTGTAAAAACTGTTATCGCTATCTCCAATAACAAGTTCATTTGTGGAAAACAATTATATTTAATAGGAAAGGAAACCAATCTGGCAGCTAAGTGGACCGAACTTAGGTGGTTCTGGCACATATTGATTGCTGGCTGAGCCCTGGGCTCGTTCAATATGGGCACCAGACAAACATTCAAGGAATTTTTATAATGAAAACTCTTCGGTTAGATCAGGTATCGGCAAAAAACGGAATTTATTCGTCAACATCATCAAGTTTATGTAATAAATTTGTTGGTATACATAGCGTGGTATACGCATTTTTGTAATTTATTTTAAACATTACTGAATATTTTTATGTTTGGATGGTTTAAAATCGTATGATTTTTTATCACAACATATGTGAAAAATATAATGTAATATAAAATATACAGGTTATATCCAATTTTATCTGCTTTTATGTGGTACTATAGATGAACTATTAATTTTTAGTCCATACAGAAAGAAAACGATATCACAAACTGTAGTATGTTTTCGTTTATTTAATTTTATTTTTACCCTGGTATTGTGGGTAATAGAAAGTTTTATTTTTAAAAATTTACGACGAGTGTACTTATCTATCTCATTTCATTAGAATGAACATACGTAGAAAAGCCTCCTTAAAGTAGGTGTTTAATACTTTAAAAACGGTTAAAAAGGTACCTAAATCACTGCCTAAAACTTAACATAAATGTGATTTAACTTTTTATCAACAACTTCAAAATAAGGATATATAAAAAACATTTGGCAATAAGGAAAACTATTATTTACGTTTTGTAACACTTTTGTTTGTTTTATATTATACAATTCTGCAATATTATACATTAATAGTTGACATTCTTGGGTTTACACTTTGCACAACTTCAAGAGACACGAAACTATTTATTCTTAATCGAAATATAACATTTATCACGTTAATGGTCCTGTAGCTTTTTACCTCCTACCCCTCATTTTTAAATTAGACTTCTAAGAAATTTCACAAAGTTTAAAAGGATAATGTTCAATCTATCCTGTCTTTCTTGACCTATATCTATAAGTTACAACATAAAAAAATTAAATTTAAACTTTTAAAAATTTCTAGATGTTTTAAAATTAAATTTACTATATTATTTTGTGATTGTTTTATTTGTTATTGAATTTCAGTTGTTGCGGAATGAGCCTTACCTTCTTGATATCTCTGAACTTGAGCCAACCGTCGATGATCGTCTGGTCTGGACTCCCGGGCACCTCCGTCACCAACTCCAAGACCTCCTCATTCTCGGACTCCGTCAGGGAGGAGGGCTCTCCTACACTCCTTGCCGGAGAGTTGTAACTACTATCCATCTCACTGCACACACACACAAACCCGTCACAAACCTCCAAAACTTTGTGTCGTAAGCCACCTCAACACTATATATTAGAAAAACATCACTTAGGATTAGAGAAATTTGTTTTAATTTATTGTGTTTTTGAAACGAAGCCACCGCGATCCCAATGCGAAGTTACCCCCACAGTGTCGCACACCGGTCTAAGCCAAGCGCGTCTACACTACCACCCCTCACTCCCCTTACCACCCCATAGTCGCCACATAGTTAGTATTCATCCTCGCGAATTCTCCTCATCCCTGTAGAACCTAATGAAAAATCCCGCGGTTTTGCCAAGTGTAAGGTTTGTTGCCGTAAACCTCGTATGGAGGTATATTGACTATAAAGCATTATCCTTTGTTATTGTTTAGGTTGTAACCCCGTGATATTGTATTAACCGTCGTAACATGTTTATAGCGTGAGGAGATCGAAGTTGAGTGAATTTGGTTTTTACTTTGAAAAGATATGAGTAAAAACACGGATTAGTGTTTTATCAGCAAATCGTAAATTAAAATTAATTTAAAAAACTTTATGTGTACGCTAAATGAATTATTCATTAAGTTATTACTAGACGACCTCCGTAATTTATGTAGAATATAAAATATTAGTGGATAGTTTAAAATACGTCTTTCTAATTTTAGTATATTTAAAATACGAAAACACCAGAATTTACCTAATTTCTACCCCCTAAAATATTACATTGTTCACGCCAAAAATAGATTTTAACTCATTTGATGTCAAAGAACAAATAAACTAGACATCATCCATAAGAGCATTGTAGTAGTGAAAACTGCCTATGTTAACTTTCTCAGTTTCTCTGAAGTTATAGCCTATTACTATAATAAATGTTGATTTGAAGTGCCCTTGCTAAACGTAATAATTATTACAAACTTATTACGTCGAACCATTGTTTTGATCAATCAACAAATGAACAACGTCCATAAAAAGCGTTATAATTTATTTTTCATATTTTTTTCAGATAATTTTTTTATCGTTTCCTAAAATAAATGCAAGGACAACTTTCCCAAAACTCAGATAACGTTTGGGTGATATTGGGCGAAAAACGATGATACAATGTGTCATTTATTGACATAAAAAACGCATGATGTAATTAAAGGTGGGGTGGGGAGGAGAGAGTGCTTTGTTATAAGCCACAAAAACCAGCAAACGTTTTAACGCTGGAAAACGATAAAAAACCTTTGATAAACATTTTTTCACTAATTAAATCAGTAGGACAATTGACTATTTTATACCCAAGTATCAATTGTCAAAGGGAGGACTATAGAAATAATAACAGTTCAAAGGTGACGAATAGAGTTGAGACGATACCGGTTTGAATAGGATTGAATGTCATGGAGTTTGGGGTTTGAATCCCGTTACCTACCAATACCAATGATAACATTATGCGCGATAGTGCAAAAACCCATCAGTTTGGAGCCCAAGAACCTGTTGGACCTCCTCTAAAGTATAAAACTATTCTTCTATATAATGAGAATAACTGTCTTTTTGCAGATTTCTCTGCCAGAAACGTTAAGGTGTTATTTTATTTTCAAAAGTAAAAATTACTAGCTAGCGTTTGACAATGTTTACACGATATTTGTTAACTCACACTGTGAGATTGTGTCTTGTAAAAGTAAAATTTATCCAAAAGAGTATACTGTCAAGACTTAACACTTTTTGCTGGTTCGAATGACGGGTCATAGTTTTGATGTGGTCATAAAGGCAATAGAAAATCATTAGATAATCCTACTACAGATTACCACAAAAAATTTTCTAGGCTGATATTCTTCAAAGCCCATCATTGTAACAAACTAATTTTGAAACATCCTGGATTCGAACACCAGTTATTACAAAAAACAATGTTTTCTTCTTGTTTGAATTTAAGATAGTGCAAAGTGCTTTCAACTCAGCTATATTTAAATTTTTATTTTGATCCTTTATCAATCACAGGCTCTCATTGATTCGAAATTCATTTAGTTGTAAATAGTTTATTTTGATATTTAATTTTTAATTTTACATTTTGATTTGATTTGTTTAAACATGTTCAGGAACTAAACGAAAATTCACATACTATCATATATAATCGGTTATCTCTATAATATGACTTTTAAGTAGAGTATATAAAGATATAGATTAATTTCAATCAGTACGGGATGTCAAAACTTGTAATCTGAAAAGCACATAACAAAAGAATCAATACAAAAAGTTGTAAAAGTGGATCAAGGGTTTTTTATACCCTGGTGTATTATGTAGAAGGAATAAGAATTCTGTCAAGATCAGGCTTTAGATTTTTGTCACAAAACCAAACTAATGCATCCCAATAATTCGCAGATTATACAACCCAGTAATCTAAACTTCCATCTACTTCACACTTAACCAAAAAGATATAAGTTCAGTGTAAAACATAAAGTTTAAAACATTTATAAGATTTACAGGTGTTGAAGACATCACGTACAAACAAGTGTAGTAACATTGGGTGATGCGAACGTTTAGCAGCAACTCACGAGAACTTCCTCCCCCTCCACCCCCTCCACACCAACCCAAACCCTTGAGCAGTACAATAACTTTCCCCCACTTGATATACAGAAAGTCCCACAGGAGAAAATCACAAACGAGCGAGATTTTTTTTTAAAATTGGGTAGTTTTTTCTACTTTTTTCTTTTCAACTGTTACACAGTGTCGAAAACACATTTTTGGTGGAAACCTTTAAGGCAATTGTGGATATTGTAGACCGTGCAATGAGAAGTATTCAATGAATGATTAGGTTTCGTTTTTCTATGGTTGAAATGTAATGATATTACACTCTTCTTTACAACAAATGGATTTTTTTCGTTTATAGTTACAATTAAAATGACAACCCTAAAAGTAGCTCTTTGATTATGTAATAAAACAAAAAAATAATTCACTACCTTAATATACAATATACATACGAAATCACCTTAGATTTAATAATTTCACAATATCTTCACCGTAAAAATCTGCTTTCAACTATAAAAATAGCTGAGAAATTATAATGTTCGCATCACTTGCTTTTTCATGTTTTCGGACAGGATCAGCTGTTTTCAATCTCTTAAAATATCACCTTAACAAACAGCTGGTCTCAACCAGCAACAATGTAAGTAATCTTATTCGCTTTCATTCTGTGATACACTACTTTACACCTAAATATGTAAACGATCGTCAATACGTTTGTGGCGTCAAATAAGCCACAGCTGTGATGCCTTTGGTCTTCACTTTATTTTAATACTAGCAGAGTACCCGGCCTTCGTACGGGGTTGGCATATAAGTATAAAATGCTTATTGCAGTTATACTCAAGCTTTGCGTTTATACACAGTTTCATAAAATTTGCTTCTTTAAATTTGTGGTATACTATAGTATTACGCATCTACCATAGCCATAATGTTCTACCATTTCACTTAAACAACAGAGAAAAATAATTTATAAAAAATTCCCAAATATCTAAAATATTTCATGAATTAAAAACATTAACATAACTGTAAAAAACCCACATTGACAGTTCTCATTTTGTATCACAGTTTTTTGTTGCTGATTAGTTCAAATTAGCTATTTTCATAAATACAAAAAAATAATAGTACTACACCCTGTTGGTAAATCTTTTAACTTTTTAATGCTTTTGCATATCATAGAACCAACATTTTTAGTTAAACAAGCTGGCAAATTCTTTAATTCCCTTTGAATATGAATACTCATAAGGTTAACATGGACAAGTACAGAGCCACTGGGGTGGAGCCCGAAAGAATTTTTGAGATATGAATATGTCTATATGTTAATAGGGAATGTGAGCTATCATCATGCCAAATTTCAGCCCAATCCGTTCAGTAGCTAATGCGTGATTGAACTTCAAACAAACAAACAAACAAACAAACAAACTTAGTAAGATTTATTATGTAACAGCTGTTGCTAGATTTGTTAAAATGTTTAGTTTTGACTATGTCATGATTTAACACACTTCTTCATTCGTTTGTAAATAATACGTCAACAAAATATTCGTTCTAGTGGTACAGTTATTTCATACAGATTGAAGATTTCACCCATTCCGTACGACATTGCAGCTCCATATTCACTAGACTTTAAGCAGTCATTGCACTCAAGTTAAAGCGCAACAGCTGGGGAATTCCCAAGTTTACAGTTTCATGAGAGAGGTGGTCTAATCTCCTGTATTGGACTGGTGCAATGCGGGGTTTCATTTATTTAAACCCTAATGTCCCTTCTAATTTCAGCAAGGGAATTTAAAAACCCTTTGCAATCCGCGTCGCAACTGCCTCTGCAGGGGACAGATGTTTTGACACAATAAAACCTGCAGCGTATGTAACATAATATTCATTTGTATTGTTCTATGTTGGATATACATTCTTCATATTATGTGATATATATTATATATTTCATATATCTAGTGTATTTTTCGGGTGTTTTCCTTCCTCCATGATATTTAGTTGTATATAGTGGTTATAGTGCTAGCATTGCAATCAATAGATGTAAGTTTCAATCTGGATAAATGCAACTGCAGTGTAAAGATAAACAATGTTTTTCTATCAAAGGGAATAAATAATAGTCCTGGCAAATGAAACCGCTTGTATTAGGCAGTAAAAAATCAACACAATGCGCAAAAAGCTCTTTCTATTCTCATTTAATACTCATTTTTCAGCTAAATACGGCCAGATTCATTCCTGTTTTAAGTGGTAGTATAGTAACAGTGACATAAGTTAAATGTTGTAAAAATACACATCAACCCCCACCAGTTTAAATTATTCAATAAATATTATTTTGATGTGGTAAATTATGTAAAACTTTAACAATAGCATCTGTTTAAGATTCATTAAAGTATGTACATTTTATTATAGATCGGAGAATGCTAATTAGAGCTTGAACTTCCTAAAATTACTAAGTAGGAGTTTTAAAAATGAACTTTGGTTATTTAATAGTTTCGTCAGTTGTATATGTAATTTAAAAGTTATGAAATATAAAGCTGTTTCGTTCTTGCGTAACTAGGAATTATTGATTTTTGATACAATAATGCAACACAGTCAAATTAAGTTCATTTAACTCAAATTAATTATTAATTCATTATTAATTCAAATTAATATTTA